TTGGGGTTTGCAGAGGAGGAGGAGGAGGAGGAGGAAAAGGAAGAGGAGGAAATGGACCGTGGGGTCCTCGGTGTTCCCTGAACTGGGGGATTTACTTGCAGGCATTTCATGACTCAGCTACGTAACATTATCAGTGCTAGAAGGAGTGAGGTTTACAGAGGGGAGGAGGAGGAGGGGGAAGGAAGAGGAAGAGTGCGGGATTCTTGCTATCCTGAGAGCTGGGTGGTTTTCTGGCAGACATTTTACTACCAGACTAGGCAATATGATCAGTGCTACAATGGAGTAGAGTTGGTGGCGAGGAGGAGGAGGAAAAGGAAAAGGAGGAGGAGGATGATTGTGGGGTCCTTGGTGCTCTCTGAGCTTAGTGGTTTTCTTGCAGACGTTTCATGACCCAAATAGGTAATATCATCAGTCTAGCACTGATGATGTTACCTAGTTGGGTCATGAAACGTCTGCAAGAAACAACGCAGAGAGCACCAAGGACTCCACAGTCGTCATCGTCGTCATCCTTCTCCTCCTTCACCACCACCACCTCCACCACCTTTCTGCAAACCCCCCTCCCTTCTAGCACTGATGTTGTTCCCTAGTTCGGTCATGAAACATCTGCAAGAAAACCACCAAGCTCAGAGAGCACCAAGGACCCCACAGTTCTCCCATCACCACCTCCTCTTCCTCCTCCTCCTCCTCCTCCTCCTCCTCCTCCTCCTCCTCACACCTCCTCCTTCTCCTAGACCTCACTCCCTTCTAGCACTGATGATGCTACCTAGTTGGGCCATGAAACGTCTTCCAGAAAACCACCAAGCTCAGAAAGCCTCAAGGACCCCCTCATTTCAATTCTGAGTTACATGTACAGGTAGTCCTTGACTTAACAATAGTTCGTTTAGTGACTGTTCAAAGTTACAACGGAAAAAGTGACTTATGACCATTTTCCACACTTGTGGCCGCTGATTTACTGCACAGCAAACTCTGGCTTCTCCAAACGAAGAACGTGGGCGGGGTGGTGGTCAGAATGGGGAGAAAGGAGGCTGAAGCTGAAAGATGGCTGAGTTCTTCTCTTGGGGCCTGGGATATGCCTGAAGCCTTTGGTCCTTGTGTTCTGACCTAGACCTCCCCAAAGAGCACTAAGCCAACTCTTGTGTCCTGGCAAAACCTCTTTGATTCCACGAATGTGAATTCCTTGCATTCACAGTTAGCCAACGGCCTGGCAAACAGTCTTGCAAAGGTGTAATTATTAGCTCCGACCTTGTCTATCTTGGAAAGATGCCCGGTAAATATTTGCACACGCAGTGCTGACAGGGAAGGGCTGGGCACACAGTCTCTAGGTTAGACCGAGAGATCTTCCCGAGGCTCGAACGAATGAACGAATTGTTTCCTGCAAAAGCCCCCTCCCCTTTTGCTCCTCTTTTCATCCCTATGGGAGGGGCCCTACGCTGTCCACCTGTGCCCTTACTCCCAGGTCGACCTTGAATTCTTAATTGTTCCCTTCTCCTGGCAGCTCTGCTCATGCGCACATCGGGAACAGGCTCCAGCTGTTCTTCTGCCTCACTGATTTCCAACTCCGAAGGCAGCTGACAATTGCTGCCAGCCTGCCCTGGCCCCATCTCTGCCTCTCATGCAGAGCCCTCGCCCGAGCCCTTTCCTCAGCCTCCAGGACCGGCCCAGGTTCCTCCCCAGTCTCCTTGCTCCCGTCCGAGTCCGCTGGGTGCTCCGTCACCTTGAATTGACAAGTTTGCTTTGCTTTTCTCCCCGCAGCTGAAAACTGTTCAGGCTACTTCACCTGCAGCCACTGCCTGGAGCAACCGGGGTGTGGCTGGTGCACGGATCCCAGTAACACGGGGAAGGGCCGATGCATGGAAGGCTCTTCCAGGGCTCCCATGAAGATGCCGGCGGCCTCCTTGCCCTCGACGGGAAAACCCTACCCGGACCCGATCCTGGATGTCAGCCTGTGCCAGACGGAGAACAAATACAACTGGTCCTTTATCCAGTGTCCAGGTATGGAAAAGGGCTGATTCGAAGTGGCCAAGCAGGGATCCAGGCCCAATTCAGAGCACCAAGAGAAGAGAATCTCTGGAGCTCTCAGGGATGAACCGTGGAGTCCTTTGTGCTGCCTGAGCTAAGTTTTTTTTTTTATCCAGCTAGGTAACATCATCAGTGGAGAAGTGGGTTTGTGGATAAGAGGCTGAGGACAGGAGGAGGAGAGGTCTCTGAGCTTGGTTGTTGTATTGCAGGCGTTTCATGACCCGACTGGATAACATCATCCGGGGTAGAAGGGAGGAGGGTTTGGGGAGAGAAGGAGGAGGAAGGAGGAGGAATAAAGGAAAGGGAAGGAAGGGTTGTGGGGGTCCTTGGTGTTCTCTGAGCTGGGTTGTTGTATTGCAGGCGTTTCATGACCCAACTAGGTATCATTATCAGTGCTAGAAGAGAGGAGGGTTTGGGGAGAGGAGGAAGAGAAAGGAGAAGGAATAAAGGAAAGGAAAGGAAAGGAAAAGAAAGGGAAGGGAAGGAAGGAAGGAAAGGAAAGGAAAGGAAAGGAA